CCTCTATTAGCATATTTCTAATCTAAGGCCATACTTACAACTGGTTATACGTCCATTTTCTGTCTCTCAGACAAACTGAGAAAAGGCTATTTGCAAATCCAAAAACATACTTAATGGAGTTTTGTGGGGGGGCTGGTTTTCACTAAAGATAGTTGCTATCATCTTTCAGCCAGATGGTTTTAGGGTGTTCAATGCAGTGTCTCAGCTGCTCTTTTCTTACATCCCTTCAAAACACCAATATGAGTGCCACAAACAGGCATTCTGTTTGCTTTGTACCTCACCCAATAATCTAACACACTGTGGAATTTCTATTCCTTTCTACAAGACTTGTAACACACCAAATCTCTGATGATTGCCCTTTGTAATTTGTAAGGCTAAATTGCAGTTAATAAAATTTATGTCTCTTTTGATTATCATGGTTTTTTTTTTTGTTTTTCAAAACATGCAGAAGCAGGTAAGAAACACTACAGAATAATAAATATAAATCAGGTAATTAAGCAGAAGCTCTTAGGATGTCACTGAAGGCTCATAAAAAAAGCCAATTGATCAGAATGAGGTTTTGTTTTGCTTGCAGCATCCTGTACTTGCTTTTTTGAGAGATTATGGTTAACTTCGGCCCTGACACAAGAATGGTCTTAAATAATTTGAATCACTGGGTCCAGAAGACTAGACAGAGAAGCAGCACAAGAGGAAAAAGAAAACAAACAGCTTGAAAATGTGAGTTGGAGGCCGTAGGGCAAGCAGCAAAGAATCAAGTTACAGTAACTTGTTACCTGAGAAAGCGAGAGGAAATAAGGGAGTTAGAAGATTATACGAAATAGGTAACTGCTGAAAAGATACTACAGAACAACTAACATTCAGTCATTACTATGTAAGACCCAGAACGCACTGGAATCATGCTGGCTTTTTGTTTGATGTTTTCTATAGGCGTTGTTTGGTCTCTACAAAAACCCTAGGGTTTGCCATTTTCCTCCCAGTGAGTTGATAATAAAGGTATCGAATTTTCTCATCATCTCATCTACTGCTGCCTTGTATCTGCGTCAAAAAACACACAAGTGCATCAAGCAGGCAGGAACAGGGGAGTGGGAAGATCTGTGCAGTCGCAAGTGAACACAGCTGCTGAGAGAGCAAGGCATGGAGCAGGCAAACCTGCTGCCCATCAGGTGCTTGCTCCACACACTCCTTCCCCTAGCTCAAGATGCAGCTGCTCCTCTTTATGCACTGGCAGATGCCACAAGGTGACACAAGGTTGAGAGCAGGGATAAAGGTGGCTACTATGGAAATAAGCAAAGATGCTCACAGTAAAATACCTCATCACCTGCTCAATCCCAAGCAGGTATCTTGCTCAGATACATTCTACAAGGTTTGCCCAGGCTCAGCCTTAAGCTTCCTGAAGCCGTACTACAAAAGCACACTCACTTTTGAAGAGCATGAACAAAAGTACAAAGAAATTGGGAAAAATTCCTTCACCAAAAGGGTTGTCAAGCATTTGAAAAGGCTGTTCTAAGGAAGTAGTTGAGCCACTGTTCTTGGAGGGAATTAAAAATATTTAGATGTGGCACTTAGGGACATGGTTTAGTCCCTAAGACCCAGTGCTGGGTAAACAGTTGGGCTCAATGATCTTAGAGGTCTTTTCCAACATAAATGACTCTAAAGGATCAGAGTTTATATTTAGAATTACAGTACAAACTGTTTAATACTGACATTTTTACAGGTCTTCTGGGATTGCACTGTTCATATGGCTGGCTTGCACATTTGACAGTATCCTACACCTACTCAATTTACGAAAGCTCATTTCAGGAGAGGGGATGAAGCCACAGATAAACTATAAAAACAGCAAGAAGAATCACATTGACTGAACATTTTCTTTGTAACTGGAAGCACTGTAGAAAGTAGAACAGGAAATAGCAGAAACCACCTAAAAAAAGTTATGGTTTAGTAGTGCAAACATCAGGGACAATGAGAGGACTGCATCCTCTCAGTTTGAAGAGGCAGATAAGGCAGAATGAAAAACAGGGGTAATTTACCCAGACTGCAGGAACGCCACTGCACAAAGAGCTGGTCCATGAGGAGAGCAAGGACAAAATTCTTGAGTGCACAAAGCAGCAGCTTGGAGCAAGCCTTGCAGCTGTCTCAGAAGGAATGTGCACTTTCCATAGGTATTAAAATCTGCTGAAACAGGTGAAAGAGGGAAATAAATACAGACTTAATTCACGGCAAGCTACATAGGCTAAGAATATAGGAAAGTAAATGACTTAGCATAGGGGAAGTTTGAGGCAATAGGTCATGCAAAAAGGATGAAAAGGTCACAGCAATTATGTATAGCCTTTTGGATAAAAGAATCCACTGCAGAGTCTCTGGATGTACTTCCAGCAATGTTAAGATGTTGCTTCCAGCTACTGGATGACAGCACATCCTGGATTTATTGTCATTCATTGTCAGGGTGTACACCCTGCATTTTGGGAAACTTTGCTTTAGAACATGCTACAGTGCCAATACTCCACACCCTCTCCCTTCTCCCAGGGGGTCACCATCAACACATAAAAGACAGCTTTGAGGAAGGCAGGTCCATATTAATTCTTAAAGAACTATAAGCAGACAATCAGATCAGGCTTTCCAGCAGATACTAGACTGGAGTGACCTGGAAAGGATCTGATTCCAGCTGACAGAGGTATCAAAGTTTCCAAGTTTGGTTCCTGAAGGAGGAGACAATAACCACAACATGACAAGACAGACAGACAAGAGCAAGCTATTTCAAGCCTTCGTCCCACTGTACACCATGCTTCTGTGTTACCAGTTTTAGTCTTGGGATATTTGTTGATTTTTGTTTTGCTCTTATTCCAGTCCTATTCATGCTTGCATTTTTTCAATGCAAATGTGTGGTGACCAGTTTTCTCCAAACTGTCAATGAAGTGCTAATTTTTTCCAGCTGCATTTGCTCTCATTTCCACCCAGTCTTGAGATGAAAAAGCACCACTGGCACAGAAGGTGAGTATCCCCATTCTCCATGTGAAGCTTGGAGAAGCTTCAGGCTACCTCATTCTCTGGAGAACAAAGAAGCAGGACAAAGGGCAAGTGAATACCAACACAAAGATCTGTGTTGCCCCAAGAGGCACATCTGCTTCCTCTTCTTTTGATGGAGCAGCTGGACAGTGTCACTCTGGGAGCAGCACAGCATGGAGAAACACGCAGGACAAAGAGTGATGCAGGTTGTGTTAGGACAAGATGAGATGCACTGAAGGAGGGGAACTCAAGACATATTAGAACACCAAGCACTAAACCTAGATGTCTTCTCTGCTCTGTTGGCTGCTTTTTTTTTATACACCACTATACCACTTTTTAAAAGAAAAAAAATTTTTTCTCATGAAAAAAAATCAATGAATCTAACCTAACCTTCTTTGTGTTTAAAATATGCAAACCACAGAATATTTTTCATGATCTTACACATTACTGTTCAGAAAACAAGAGAAGCTGCACAAATGAATTACTTTGCAGTCTTTATTAAAAGAAAGTACATCTAGAAACGATCAAATGATGCAGAGGTAAAGTCACCTACAAAACAAGATAGATTAGCATCACCCACTGATTGTTGATCCTGGTGGCACTAGAGGCAAACTGGGAAGGGCTTTAGGGCAACTTTGTACTCACAGATTGTAGGAATGAAGAAAGAGTTGTAAGCAGAAACAAAGAATTAAAGGATAGGTAGTAAAGCAAGTTCCTTCTCTCTCATTTTACAAATTTCATCTACTGTGGTGCAAATCCAGAGCATTGATTCAAATACTATTTTACTGGATTTCCATTTGTTTTGCCTGGGCCCCTACATTAATCCAAACAATAAGGGCCTTTAAAGCATTCATAAATAACCTGCTGCTGCTGCTGGCACCTAGGAGCCAAGTGCAGCAATGTTAAGCAACAACAAATTTCATAGTTCAAGAGGCACAGTTAAGGAAAAAGGTTGCTCAGAAAATCACTCTCATTTAGCACAAAGATCCTTAAAAATTGCATGAAATCAGTCAAGTAACTATAGAAACCAATTTCTTCAGCTCTGTATCACACGTCTCACACCTCAATTGTCTTTATTATCGTCTGCTGTCAGATCCTTAATCAGAAATGTGAACAGGCTTGATGATTTATTCAGCAGGGACAAGAATCTGTAGGTCAAGTGAAAAATTTCACACACACATACACACACACACACATCTTCAACCTTAGGTACTTTCATTTCATTCTGTTCCCAGTAGCTCTGGGGGCAACTCCAGTGAGATCCAATATTAAGGCTCAATTAAAATAAGCTCCAATTAGTGGAGCTTTTTTCTCTCAGGCTAGAAAAGTCAGGAAATGGATATTGGGAAATGTAAAAAGTCAGCTACTGAGAGGAGGCTGCAGACATAAATGAACTTATTTGTTGATTTCTACAGTTGCTATGCAGAGGCCTCTGGGAGTAAAAGCTTAACCAGTCTAAGCTATAAACTAAAACCCCTGCAGCTAAACATGAACTGTGTGAAACAAGGGCTCCATTCCAGAACAGAAAACTGCTGGGCCCAGAAAATTAAAAGCCAGAGGCGTTTTCCATTTAAAACTAAATCCCAGTACCGCCTCCCAGCCAAAGAATTATAAGCAGTATCAGATTTACAAAACGAACAATTACCCTGGAAAAATGTAGCCTATTGTACAGTCCCAGATGCTAAATCTCAAAGTTTCTTTTTTTTTTTTTTTTTTCTAATCCCACATTATATTCCTACCAAGTGTACTGCTGCAGTTTACAAAGGACTGTTTCGAGACAGGACTGAAAAAGCAAAAATAAAATGGTAAAAAAAGAGAGCTCATAATTCACTGACCTCATTTGAAGCACTGCCCTTGCCTGTGGCAATTCCTGTCCTTCCCCAAGGCCTCTGCAAATGGTATGCAGCAGCAAAATAAACCCTGACCTAATTGCCAGGACAGGGCTGCCAACCTTCTCTCCACACACAAAGGCAAGCATGGTAACTGGAAAGTCCTACCTCTTTCGCTTTCTGCTTTAACCGCAGTTGCTCTGGATCTTCTTTATTGGAACGGCTCTACCAAAGGAAGAGGAAAAAGACTGAATAGAAACTACTGGCGTCCAAACACCATCCTATCTGTTAAATATTTAATAAATGACAGTTTTCTCTGGTGATTGAAAGATTTAGCTCCAGGGGTGAATGCCTCAATCCAGACTGGCTTCCATCCCCCTCCGTGCACATACGTGCACACCCCTCCTCATCTGGGCCTGCTGCCTCTCCTCTAGCTGGAGGCAAGATTAAGCTGAAAATGATGCTAACACTGTCAGTCAGGTCCAGTCTAGGCATGATGTTGTTCATGTCAGCAGCAGACACTTAAAAAGGACAGGAAGTATAGGAAAGAAAGGGAGTTGTATTCATGCAAGCACAACACAGTTCGTTCAACTCTAGATTAGGTTTCCACCCAAGTGGCTCCAGAATTTGGCTTGAAACAAAATCAAAATAAAATAATAAACAGATGATGGTCAAGTCACAGCTCATGAAGCAACATCTACTGTCATAGGGGTTTTTTTTTCCTCCTCTTCTTGAGGAGAGGGAAAAGAGAAAGAACTTATTCTGTACTAGCAACAGCTCCAGCAGGGGTTCATGGATGCTGTGGTACCAGCTCCAAGGCCAGCCCTCTGAACTTGACTACAGAAAACAAACACACCTGCAAGGGTGGTGGATCTCACCAGGCTTCTGTTTCAGAGGCAAATTTTTGAGATACAGGAAGGACATTTACAGATTTTTACTTCATTTTGACCAGTAGGAATAATCTCAAATGAGGAGTTCACCCCACCACACGCTGCCATGAAATCTTGTGGACTTTTTAAAAAACATAAATAAGTTAAATCCTTTTCTGTATAGCCTCAATTGTCCTAAACATTACAGATTTTCAGTGACAGGTTTAATGGCTACAATATTTAAAGCAGAAGTAGGAGAAACCTGAAGATGGTCACCAATCTAGAGGACATTACTACTTCCTTGGAAACCTAGAGTCTTACCTTGGCTGCTCGAAGCAACATTTCACGTTCCTCTTCATCTTTTCTCTGCTTTTCTAGGTGATCAAGCTTCTCAAGAAACCTCAGTTGTGCTCTGGTGTCACTACATACGATGTACTTATCACTCCCCTGAAAAAAGAAGTGCGTTATAGACAACCAGGAGCTAATAAACCTAATGGGAACCATCTGAAAAGAACAACACTATTTTTCAAAGCTGCCAAGTGTGGGCTGTTCAGGTTGTAGGCAGTCATTTAAACATCTCCTCTCCACTCCAGAGTGTTTCCAGGTGTCCATGACTAGTAACAGGTTACTGAACAAGTGACATCCAACAACATCCAGTCTATACTGACTATAACAGAAGTCTTCCCTAGCCTTATTAAGACTGAAATTTTGTTTTAAACCACCAACTTCATATCCAGTAAACATGTATTGAAAAAAAAAAAAGTAATTGTAAAGCAGCAGGGCATTATAGCTTTTCTCCTTTGAAGAGAAAAAAAAAATTTGACATTTTAAGTTTCTAGTGCTTTGTGTTCTAGTTTCAGCCATTTAATGTGTAAACTGAAACAAGCATCGCCTGGTATTTCTAAAAAGATGTTTTATGTATTGGAGGTGTGGTTTAGAACCAGTTACAGTGAATCTCAGGGATGAAGAAAGTGAAATATATTATATACAGTTTATTATAGCTTTAAGAGTACATATTTTTTGCCTCAGAGAATCATTTCAAGTCCCAGGGTAGTTTACATTGAAAGGTAACCCAGGGAAGTCATCTGGTCCAGCCACCTGTACAAAGCTGGGCCAATGAATACTAATGGTTAGTATTAGTCCAACAATCAGTGAACATAGAGGCATTGGACACATGAGCTCCTTTTGGCCTGAAGAATACCAATCACTAGTTTATTTTACATTCTGTTTTTGCCCACACTGGAAAGCTTGAGTTGACATTTACTTTAGCTCTGAAAGGCAGAGAAAGGAAAGATCCAAAACAGGGTCAACTGGCAATGAAAAGCTTGGTTTTACTACTTTGCTCTTCCTAAGACCGGCTTCTGGAGCCACGCATTGGCCAGAGGGCATTTAGGCAGCACAAGACAAGGAGCCCATTCTAGATGAGGCATGTCTGTGCCACCTGTTTGTATCACTTTTTAGCGTATGTCCTACAGATGTCTTCTTTCTCAGTTACTTTGTGAACTTGGTTTTTTTTCCTGAGAAGTTTATCCTGGGTCTTTTATCAGCCACACACACTACGTACTTTCAGCAACTCTTTGTTCTATGTTACCCCAATCTCACATTGTAATGAAACAACTCTGACATGCAACTATTCTAAAAGAAGCATAGGATATTTTACAGCTGTATTTTAGGCAAGGTTACATATTAAGTATATGGACTATCAGTTACTCTATTTTTAGTTTTCAAGGATACTAAGACTCTTCTTCTCACATCCAGTCATGCACTATGAAAAGATGGAAAGTAAAAAGTTTTCTTGTGAGCACTGTTGTCTCCTAATTTGAATTTTCACAACTAAGTCAGAGCATGGAATCAATCTCTTTTCTGGTATTACATCTGATCTTTTTCAATGAGCCACCTCATTGTCACGTATTACCAACTGTGGCTCAAAACACACCACATGCTGCAACCAACAGACTTTCCCAAACAGTGTCTGTGGCCCTGCAAAAAAGTCCAACAAACCTTTTCCCCCGCTTCTGTCACTGCTCACGCTTTTTTTAACCACCCTCCACAAAGCAGACGCTATTTTTGAGTCACTCTCGGTACATCAAGTACAACTTGTTTTGAAGCAGCAGTTTATAATAATCCACCACCATTCCACAATCCTTTTAAAAGGACAAAGAAGAAAGCTGTAGTACCAGAACATTATTTTTTAAAAGTTTAGAAGTGTTTCACTTTGGAATAGCTGGATATTTACACATTTTAAGACAAATCCATGACGATATACCAACCAGCAATGTAAGTCTCCCAACCAGAAGCTCCCCAATGCATTGCCACGAGCTCGTATGTGACAGGAAGTAGATGCATCGGTAACGTATTTCAGCTCATCACCTGTTTTAGATAGCTTATTTCAGGAATTTTTAAAAGAGGAACACCTGAGGTTATGTTTTGTCCTACTCAATAAATTTCTCTGCGATCATTTAGCAGGGAATTGCTGAGACAGAAAACATTACACTGTACCCCTGTTCATGACTTGTAGCCAGTCCTGTTACGATCAACCATTATCACCTACATCCTACAGATAATGCAGTTTAGTGTTGTGGCATTTCAGTGGTACTGCAAGAGGGGAAAATGTTTTCATGGAGCATCATTTATAGCTCAGCACCACACCATGCCTCTCGGAGCCATGAGTTCAGGGGCTCCAACCGCAGGAGCACGGCAGCTGTTTCATGCTGGGATGAATCCACATTAAAACCCTTTCCCTTTATGGTCTTCCAAAGGCTCTATATGAGCACTGCAACAAGAGCTGCATCACAGAGAGCAGCTCCCAACCATCTAAAAAGTTATTCCCACTTCACATAAAGAAACCACCATCATAGTTTTATCCCAATTAAGTTAGTGACTTCCAATCATATTTTTTCTCCTTAAATTTAGCAAAGAAAGGAACAAAAGTTGACAAGTCTACGTGATGGCACAGTACGAAGCTTTTACCCTGCCAATTCACTCTGTCTTTGCAGAGCTATCTATCAGATAAAAGCTGCTAGGCATGAACTGAGCAAACTGGGAAGAGCTCCCTGAGTATGATCCCATGAATTACTGGCCTTTTTATACCAACTCCTACCCTAACAGTAATTACTCTGGTTTCACCACACCTACCCCTATTACTGTCTTTTTGTAATGAAGATAGGCCAGTACAAAGCCTTATGGAGCAACCACCCAACCCTCCTGGAAAGGTTCTGGGAGTTTATCTGACATAGATGTAGCCCACATTGCTCAGGGGAATCAAAAGCCACCAGCGAAAAGAGAACAGGGGGTAAGCACCACGGCTGATGGAATACAGGGCTGTATAAACACCTACATTAATACATAACAGGACTCCAGCACTCTGCAGTGTTCTCTTCTTGAACTTAAGCTTTCTAAAAGCCTGTCAGCATCTCTCACAAGGCTCACAAAGGTAATCCTGTAGGACACTCCTCTGTCGCGTAATACCATCGTCCTAACAAAAGAGGGTATCTGTGCCTGTAAGATTACTGTGCCCGTTACTTCTGATATTTTTTGTTTGTTTTGCTTTTGAAAAGAGGAAAAGAAAGCCAGCTTATTGCAATCTTATAATCTTATCATTGCTCCTGGCAATTCAATCAGACAAAAACCTATCTGGTTTACTATTGCTTTAGTTCAATGAGAAAGAAACCAGTCCTATCCAGCTTACTGTCCAAAAGCATTTCCTTCTGCTCTTGGTGTCTGCAAGACACTTAGTTCTACTGGTTACTCAGGACTTCAGCCTCCTCCTCACTTATGCTCACAAGCTCAATTGTACCTCCCACTTTCGAGAAAACACCATACAACATGTGCAGATTTCTGAAATCTTTTCAGACAAAACTCTGTACTTGTCCTGTATTGATTTTCTTTTCTATTACATCTTCTTCTGGCAAGGAGCAGAATATTCCAACTGCTCCAGACAGCACTGTAAATACATTTAGTTTCCAAATAGTTGCTCCTCTTTACTATTGCTGCTCCAGTGCTGAAAAGCCCATAAAAAGTGTTCAGTACAAAAATACAAAAATAACTCTGATCCCATCAGTTGGTTGCTCTAGTTAAATTTCATTAAGCATAAAGTTCTTGCTCAAACCTGAACAAACAGGAAAGTAAGAGTTGACAGATACATTTGCTTCTCACTTCTTATTTTTCTAAAACACCTTCACGTTGAAAGAAGTAAGGATTAGTATCTTGCTATTGAATGACAAAAAAAAAACCAGAAAAAGAAAGAGCTGGTTTGGCCAGTACATTATCACTTCCCATTTGCACCATACAAGCATCTTAAGGGATACCAGCCCACTGGGACACAACAGACTTTACATTGAATGAAGCTAAATAAAGCTTAAGATGAAAAAAAAATCTTAAGATGAAAAGGGCCTCTGCCTTCATGGAGAACTTTCTACAAGTAAAATAATCAATTCAGTTTCCCAAGGCTTTTTACTGAGCCAATACTGACTGCAATTCTACCAACAATAAATGCATAAGGAAAACACAAGCCCCTAAATCAACCCACCATCAAGAGCATTCAAGATTAGCTTTCCATTTACCATGTAAGAGACTTTGTATAACAGCTACCACTGCTATGGAAGAAACACATGCATTCAGTCTCACGCTGGGTTTTAAGAGCACCTGCCCAACAAGTCAAATGGAACAGTTATATGCTGGGCTAGACAAAGCTAAAACCAGCCTTTGGTAGATACTGGGAACACAAATGTTGCCTGTGATGTGCCCACACTTGGAAGAGGTTTACCTTCAAGGCTGCAAAGCAGGAAAACTTTGTGCAAAACTTGCTAATGATTTCCTTTACCTTGTGGGTTGACACTCTGTGCCGAGCAATTACAGTTAGTTTTTCCAGGAGCCTTCGTAATCTCTGCTGTGTAGCGTGGGAGATCAAGTTCACAACATCAGAGTTAAGTTCCATAATGTCATGCCTTTTACCTGTGGAAGCAGAGAAAATCCATTACGTGTTTTAGTAGTAGCTGATAATTGAAATAATTAGCACAGCAGGTATTCTGTTCCCCCTGGAAGTCATACCCATTATGAATAAAGGTTTGGAGATTATGATTTTCCTGGTACAGTCACAACTTCAAAGATCTTAGACATTACATTAATAAAACTTAGCCTGGAGCTTCAGAAAATATAGACATTGTTTCACTTAGCCTCCAGAACCACTCTCCTTGCAAGGTCATTTATAGGACAAAGTTAATAAGAACACAAATCAAGTTTCGTGTTCAGGGAGGGGGAGAAGAGGTAGCTGTAAAAATTAGTGCCATATTCTGTTAATTCCAGTAATTAAAAAAATACAGAATTACATTTTGCCCTGCTTGACACCGTGCTTGTTAACAACTCATGACATTTATTTGACGAGCAGGAATGGGTTTTGCAGCGCACTCCAGGCACACGAGACCCTCCGAACTGCCTTGACTGACCGACACGGGGCAGACAGACCCAACCAACCCACAGCAGCCGCTCGGACAGCGCAGATTCCAGTCCAGCCAGGGCCATCCTGCCATCACCTTCAACCTTTCCTCTCGGGCTGCCGCCGATTCTCCGCGTCTCAGCAGCTGCGACCAAGGCTGGTGACAGCTCCAGGCAAGGCTGTGCTGGCCCTGCACCCAGAGCTGGGCATCACCTCTGTGACCTTCCCACGGCTGCAGGCTGCCGACAGAGAAGCCTTCCCGTGGCTGACACCATCCATCACTCAGCGCGGCTCCATCGAGACACCTGGGCGGCTGCGGCTTTTCCCTGGTAGGCACGGCAAGCGGCAGTTCCACATGCCTCATACGTTGTACCTGTCAGAAGCACTTTTCCTTGCCCTACACTGCATTTACAGCAGCTGTAATACTTTATGATGCAATATACAGCACGCCTTCAAAACCCATTTCAGTATTTACTGCCAAGTGAAGTGTTAAGATTGGATAAACAGCGCACTCTGAAAAAAGCTAATCACCTATTTCATTTGCTTTTGCTACTGTAACTGAAAATGAATGACAATCTCACAAGACAGGGAAAACCTAGAATGTTTTCCCATACACAACCAAAGCATTCCCTGTTTGATCAGTAAGCACTGGCCTGTAACTTAACTGAGTGCAAAGCTCATTTTGCTCAAGCATGTTTCAAAATGCTTCCTCTGCAGCTTCTCGCTAGACAATCAGATTAATGAAACACCAACTTAAAAACAAAATAAAATCCCCCCAAAATCTCAAGACCTCCCTACACACGCGCACACACACACACACATTTCTTAATCCAAAGATGGCTCAGCTCAAAAGCAGACATCTTAACTTTCTGAATTGCTCTACTCCCTGGCAGCACTCCTTTTCTTGCAAACAAGCACTTATCATTTATGACATGAATTACTGTATTATTATTATTATTATTAATTTGGAACAACTACCATTCTAGCTATGAAACAGCCAGGCTTCTATTTTCTGTCTTTCAACACATTGTCTTTACACCCACAACAAGCAAATTATTCTAGAAATACTCTCCCTGTTTTTGCAGAGCTCTTTATTTTTCCTTATACCCACTTCCCACAAATGACTGATTAATCCTCTACTGAATGTTGAGAACAACTTCCAGGCACCAGACCTGATGTGTATTCTCCCTTTGCCCCCAGTAACACAGCATTTACTAAGCCCCGTACAGCTCGAGATGACACATCTGGCTGACCAGGGCAGGAGCACCAAGGTCACAGGTAGCACTTGCAGGTTACGTGCTTGTCACACGCTAGCTGCTCACTCTGGACTAAGAACCAGCTGTGTGTGGAAACAGAAAGACTTTGTGAACACGTGGTTAAGCCACTGTGACAGAATTGTGACTGCACATTGAGGCTTTCCTGGATGCTCAGCTGTAAAACTCAGTGTTCCAGTGCAGCAAGTACAGGGCAGAGGGCACGAGCAAGGAGCTGAGCACATGCATAGAGTTTGCTGTCGACAGCAGTGGGACCAGCCAGTGTGCTGCTACACAAATGCATGCTCCCTGCTCTGAGATAATACAACATTGCTGAGAAACACTTAATCTTTTGTCCAGAAGGTAACGCTGAGATGATACCTACACAAGAAACTTCCTGTGACAAGCATTCAACATACATTCCACAGTATTACTCACTATACAGACAAACAGCATCAACATCTCTTCTGTATAAAATTAACTATGTTTTTTTTTTCCCCAAGGAGGGAGGCATAAACAAAGCTCTGCTCTGTGTGTACTGGAAGTTTGAAACTTCTTCCTAATGTCAGTCAATAGAGTATACATATACCTGAACAGGCTGAGGAATGCAACAACTGTTAGGGAAGTCAGAGTAATGCATCAAGTTAGAAGCTGCCAAGACAGAAAAGCACATTTAAGTGTTTTGACACTAGCACCTTTATGGTTGTTACGTGTTGCATTAGGTTTAAGAATAAGAAAGTTGCTCACTTCTCACATGTTAAAGTGGTATCAGTTTCTTTTTTTTCGTTATGCTTCAAACTGTTTTTGTGTTTTTGTTTACGAAAACTTTAAAGGACAGCTCTTTCCTAGAAGGGGAAGTGAAAAATCAGTATTGTTTGGTAGAAACACATTAACTGAGATGGCAGATCTTAATAATTCCAGGTCCTTCTTCAAAGATTGGAGGATGGCTGATGAAAGAGGCAAGGAAACACTACATCCATATATATCTGCTATGTGTCCTTTGTTCTCACCTATGTTCAAGATCTTAGTCTGAAGAGCTTCCGAAGACAGAAATGGTTCATCTGAGCAAGAGTGAATCACTGTACCAATGAGCTCAGAGTTTGCTGCCAAAATGCAGGCATTCTCCTCACTGAGATTAACCCCAGCCATAGAAGTCACATCATTTAGGTCATCTTCATCTCTACAAAAGAGGAGACCAAGATTTTATGCTTTGTTCAGAATAGACACAAAGTCTCAACTATCAACAAGCAACCACATTCACATATCCTATATACAACTGATGTTTAGTGTGGGTGTGGACAGGGAGCTCCTAAAAGCTCTCACACTTCTGCAAAATGCATTAATTTGGCTAATGCCTCAGTTGCTAGGCATGCAAATCCTTTATATGAAACTGAAATTTTGAGCCAGCTTGGAAACTTTGGACTGAGTTAAACCCAGATTAAAAGTTCCCACAACCCCTAACCCTGCACCACCACTCTCGCAGCCTGAAATTTGTTCTAAAACTAATTCACCAGGTAAAACCAAGTATGGAATGAAGTTGAATGTTGACTCATTGCACTATAAAACAAGCCCATTTTCTAACTAAGATGCATATCTTGCAAACTGAGGCTGAAAGCAGAAGCTTATTAGCACAGACCTGATCTTCAGTTTTCTTAAGCGAGTTCCCTTAAAACACAGGATACAAACAGTCTTGATTATGTACTAGAACCAATCCAGACTTTGTACTTTGGATCAGTCCTACCATACTATGTACACAGTGGGGAAGATGCCACTGCTTCTGAAGCACCATGCCGGAGCTCTAGCTGGCAACACCATTAGCTGGATTCTCATGCAGCAGCTTTGGATTATATGTTCAAAATAAAAACTCAAATCTGGCATACTTAAAGAGCGAACATCACTCAGACTAGGTATAATAGCCTGTGTGCTTCAGCCTAATTTTTTTTTTAGAGATCATTTAAGTTAAAATACTGAATGAGTCTTATATGGAAAAGGTTTTTCTGCTACTTTGTCAAAGAAACAATCCAAGTTATCATCAAATAAGTTCAGACTCACAAGAAAGCATTTTTACTTCATAATGTGATAAAGGCCCTAGTTGTGGCTTCAGGGATTTAGGACCAATCCAAAGCAGACATCCACAGTATTAAGACAGATAAGTAAAATCACTCAATCTGTACATATTTTTATTTGCAAAGTATAGGAAACAAAATCAACACACACACCCCTCTTGAAAAATATTCTCTGGCTAGGTTTGATAAAGTTCACCTTCAGAAAACACTGTGTGGCCTCAATAACTTTTGAACAAGGGGTTAGCCAGAAATCTGCCGTTCCAAGGTGAAATTATATTTCTTGGAGGCTATTCTTTGACTGACTAGAGGTAGAAGTTATTAGAACATGAGTTGGGGTTGAGGTTAAGCAATACTCAAAAGACACAAGAAAATGTTAGGATATTTTTCTTAAACTATAGATGTATTTTTCCCTTTGGGTTTCAGTATGTTTCTATGGCACCATTTTTCTGCAAACATCCAGTGAGAGAACTGCCAGAAAATGAGTCCTTCTTCTACCCCTCCTTCACTCATGTGCCCTCACTGCTAGCAGTTCCTATGTGTGTGTGTGTTCAGGGAAAAGGAAACCTAATAGATTCTCAGACCAGCTCCAGCTCTTTACGTCTAACTGGACACAACAGCTTCCCAAACAGCTTGTGCCCCAAATCCATCATGCTAAGAAAAGTGTTAAATCCCAGGACTGTCAGAACAGTTCGATGTCCACAGCCACAATTTAAAGCTGAAGCCAACAGTGCCAGAAGAAGCTTCCCTCCTCCTACCCCTTCTCAACCAGCAACTGAGCAGCTCCAAGTGCATACTCGGCTCTATCAGCCTAACAGAGACCTGAAATTTCAGCAAGCGTGTCAATGAAGATTCATGGGATGATAATTGAGTGCTAACTGATCTTCACAAGTACATTCCAGTTTCCTCTTCTTAGTGACCACTACAGAGAAGTCTTTGCTGATGGCAGAGACAAGAATCCCACTGAAACACAGTGACTACCATAGATCCGCTGACAAAAATCAGCACAACCAGCACCAGGAACACACATCACAAGCGATCAGTGCTGGGACCTGACATTACTCCTGCTGAACTGTTTATGGAATCCCAGGAATGATGCTTGCATCCCAGGCACAACTGCATAGCATGCAGTTTCAGGAAATCAATTTTGCTTTTAATCTGGCCACATACTCAAAATGCTCAAGCAAAGAACAGATAAACTTCTATAATGTACATCTATGCATTTTTCTACATAGAGAAGTTTCATTTCTCTTTAACCAGGTTACTATTTTCTTGATTATTTCCATGCATACGGTCTCTCTAGTGTGTACAGGCATACAAGAGTTTATATGCAAGCAGATACCTCTACCTGTACTGTTCTTCAGTACCAATTCTAACTTTTTCACTGTGAGACATAAGTTTGCATTAAGTCAATTAGTCATTAGCTTTGATGAAAGATATGAAAAAACTGTTGTACTTATTTTACTTAACCCAAAGAAATTGCCACTATATTTCCTTAGAAAAGTGCTCACTAAAGATTAACAGAAGTTCCAGAAGCCATATTCATACTTCTTACTACTCTTTTTTTTTGTTGTTGTTCAAACAAACTTCAATCATTTTAAGTAAGGTACCATGTACTTTGAGTAAGCTGTAGAAATCATTTCACTAAGGTGATAAATTTAAAGCATTACAGAGTGTACATGAAAGTGTTTGATGGATATTGACTTGCTTTCACTTTCAGCAATCCCTCCATAAAGCCCCTTTTCTGCACCACTTTCTTCAATGGCCCTTTCATTTGATCATGTCACACACAGAAATGAACAGGAAAAACTCACCCAGCTGCTCTAAGTCTCCAGTGATTTACACTTACTAGCACAAGATGGAAAACAGAACTCAAGAGTTCTGAGCGACACACTGCACGAAGTCAGGTTTGACATTTATACTGGGTATTCACTGCAAAGGCAGCCCAGGCAATTGCAGATGCAGCTCACATCTGTGAATCAGCCTGCTGCCTGAAAAGTGAGTCTGGGGCACCCTCTGGTGTCAGACAACCGCACTTGTCTTCTGAATCCCCCTAACTTTACTCCGTTCTATCCAAGAGCCAAAGGGAAAACTAGAAAGACAACTGAACCAAACCTCTGTGCACCATCCCTGACAACTACTCAGGCCAGAACAATTCCAGCCAAGCCAGAAAGCTGCATGTGCTCTAGAGAACTACTCTATTAAACAGAATAAATTCAAAACAAATATCTACAGATGAAATATGCATCTGATTTTTTTAGCAGAGTGCTCTAGCATATACTTTACAGAAATGTGTAGATCAGATTACAAAAAATCTTGATTTTTTTTTAAATTTTTTTTTTTTTTAAAACAGAATATCTCTTGACATGCTATGGTGCAATGTCCATGCTTACCTGAAACAACATCTAGAAGGCTGGAATGCTTTGTGTGTTGTTTTTTTTCTGTTTGTTTGGTTGGGGGGCAGGAAATCACTCCTTTTACTGCTTATCTCAGGCAACCTAAACCTGCCTGTTAAAGAGCAGACAAGGGCAAACTGCAACTAATTAAGTGCAGCTTAGTGATTAGAATGTCCTCAAATCCTTACCTAGCCTAGTCACACAACAGCAGAGGGAGTCAGGCTCGATGACACACTGCAGTGAGTGCACAGTAAGAGCCACATGTACAATCACATCAATTACAAGACACACTCTCTGCTTGTAACAAATTTTATCACAAAATTGGAAAGCAGGCCATGGTGCCTTTCTCTGCCTCACACATGATCAGCAGTTGATGGATCATAGGTCAGAAAGTTTAATTATAGCAGTGAATAGAAAAAACACCAAGGGTGTATCCAAAGACAGACTCTTCAGAGACAAGAGACTCTACAAAGAAAATTTAAGGTGAGTTAGAGATTTCCTACCTAAACACTCATGGACTTAGGCTGCTTTGAAGATCACAACCCAAAAGCAAGCAGAGAAATCTCTACTGAATCATATTGTAAAAGCAGCTTTTTTCCTACACTAGGAATTCAATTCAGGGAAAGACTTCCAAGAATTCAAATTTGTCATGTAAGACAGCTAATATATTCCATTTGGAAGATCACAGAAAAAAACGTTTCTTTTTTTTCTTTGTGTATGAGTTTGTTTGTTATTTTGTTATATTATGATATTGATAAAAGGTTTTTTTCGTAACATCACTACCCAAAATTACATCCCACTTTATATTCTAAAGCATGTTTCATGAGACCTTGAGGCAGATGAACAGAGCTATTGCTTTAACATGAGCTTTTCATTTCAACTTCTGGAAACCACTGTTTTTAAGTGTTCACTGTATACTGTATGTTACTGTGAACAGCAGCAGCTCTCTGTCTATACCAGTACATTCAAAGCTGCAGCTTTCAAGAGATGATAAGTCAACTGGTCAGCAACACAGAGGTGTCGTCATGCCTGCCTTGGAAGAGCAATGTCAAACTTGCCTTGAGGTGGTAAGACTAATAATGCTTATGGCAGTCTGTACCTCAGTTCCAACATCACACTTCACAGCTGTAAAAATAATTTCTGCTTTTGTAAAGTTAATCAGTTGCCAGAACTAAAGGCTTTAAGCACTCTTGTAATCTAAAGGCCTAGAGAACATGTTAGAAAGCATGATTAGAGATGTAGTCAAAGACTTTCACCCATACACACAGAAACAAGCTTGTAAGAGAAGCCAATAAAAGATTCTGAAATGCAGCACAGAGCTTTAGACAGGTTACAAGCAGTTAAATGCTATCAGACTATATGCAAAAAACAGAGGTTCTATCTGTTTTAATCCTGTTGAGACTTTAATACAAGATAACTAGATTAGTAATTGTATTCTATCTATATTTCTATCTATAGGATAGAAAACATGTCAGTGAAAAACTGACACAAAACCCAACCTCACCAGGACAGTCTTCTTACACTAAGAACAATTAACATCTGCATAGAAGTTTTAAGGTTACCCTTAATGACTTTTCTAACGTGAATGCCAATGACTTTTCTAACGTGAAAAACATGTACCAGAAAAAAGCTTCTGAACAAAGTTGCTTTTATTTGAGCTCCATTCCTACATCTCTACTTGCCTCTTCCTTTTGTTCCTTTCTATACTTAACTTCTGATATTGTTCATTTTTACCTGAAGGATGTTGCTCCATTCTCTTTAATTTTCACTTTCTGAACGGGAGATGCTTGAAGCGACAGTATTTTATTTCTTGGCAAAGTAATTTGCTTCAGAATGGAACCTAAAACAAAACAAAGAACATGCTGTAGTAGAAAGCAAAATGCTTAGACAACTGTTTAGTCAGCTCATTCTTCTAGGTAAGGCTACTGCAGACTCAGTAACAACTAACTGGGTCCATCTGAAAACCAGACACTCTAGAATCTTACATTCTACAAGTTCTGTATGGCCCAAAGCCTCATACACTCTCAGCAAACACCCTCCCTTCTGTGCTGACCAGGGAAATGTGCCCATGAAAAGTGACTGGCTGAGAAAAACTCTAACTGTGCATCACCCGAACCTGTTGAAGGAAAAAGCAGGGTCTCATGAAACAACTCTCAAAATCATCAGCTTAGAAGAAGTTCACTTCAAGAAGCTCAGTCATAGTATTTTAAGAAGTACAGATAGTTGATTGATATGCTCTTAACAAGTACCAGAAGTAGGTGTGACAATGATTTTCTCTTCAGAGCTCCAGACAGTAAAGATGTTCAATTTAATGCACAGAGCTGGTTGCTCCTGACAGACAGCCACCTTCTTGGCATTCATACAATCTGCCAACAGCCTGCACGTACTTCTACACCTCAGCAGTCCTCCCCCTTCTCCAGTGAAAGGGGTCCCTGCACTTTACCTGCAGGAAACTGGTTGGTTTGAACAAGTGTATTCAGCGGCATCTTCCTCTCGGCAGGTGTCTGTAGGGTGAGCACTGAGGGCTGGGGGAGCGTGGATACCTGTTTGACAATGGTTCCCGATGGTTGCTGGACTACCTGGAAGCGGAATATCCAATATCAAGATTGAGAAGAGCTAAAAATACAGAGAAGTAAACAGTATCAGTGTTTCCATTTAGCCAGAAGTGCCACTGGGCAGGCATGCTTGTCTAGTTTTCAGTTTAAAGCAAACAGCATGCTCAGAAAATACCTTAATTTTTTAAACTTTATGTCAAGAAATCTTAACAAGTGGTAGTGAGCTTTAAGCTCATTCACTGAGCTCAAACAGACACTTCACCTCTATTCTCTACTGATAACTCTATCAGACAAGTTTCAATAATAATCACACAAGCCATTACACTGAGAGGCTTTACCTAAGTCTTGCTCAGCAAGCTAACTATTAAAGAGTGAGTTTGCCTGCCAATAACTTCAAAAAGAGTAGGTATCACAAACACCTGGTCAAAAAGGGAGAACACCAAAACAACTGAAGTCTTGCCCGAAATACTTTACCTGCTAGGAATTAAAGAGTACACGCTATAAAATCACTGATGTGTTTTTGGAATTGCAACATCATTTGTAAATTGAGATGCTGGGTTTTGAAGTGTTAAGCTAAAGTACACTGAACACATCGGTTACCAGGAACATGAAGTACTAGATAGCAACACCTATAGCAAGTAGAGCCTCTACACAAAGACATCAGTACACAGCTGAAGGGTATAAAGGAAGGCAGCTCATGGTTTTGTTTAAAGACACTCTTCAAAGAAACAAAACCAGACAGCAGGATGTCATCACAACACAGACCTCCAGGCACAGCCCAGAAATACTAATCCTTCCTCTTCAGGGGCAGCTATTAAAATGCAAGAAGGTAATAAGATTGCAACATCCCTAAAAATCTCACTTCTAAGCCTCTAAGCTAGCAGAATGTGGGCTTCAGCTTTGATACATGTTTAAAAAAGTTCTTGATTACAGGCCTTAGGAAGGTGTTACTTCACCAAAGCATAAAATCAGCATCTTCAGACTGGATCCTATTTTCTTAGCAGCCAAAAACTAACATAAAGAAAATGTCAGGATCAATAAACCATTTTTCTCCTCTACATCTTTTATTTCAGAAAGTCTAAAGAGTGCTTGTACAGTAAGACTGCACTAGTAATTAAAGAATTGACATTTCTTGACAATACTTCAGAAATTAGGCTCTCTTCTGTCATCTAACTTCTCCTCTGTTAATAACTATCATCAACATAAGCCTCACATGTTCACAAAAAGAGGTACTTTGTGTATCAAAGAGCCAAGACACCCTTCTCAACCACCTCCGTATTGGTAGCACTAAGGCTTGGCGTAGCAGCAGTAATAGAGTAACTGATCTCAAAGTGGTATCTGAAAACCTGACAGACAGTTAACATTAAGGTTCACAGGAGAAAAGAGCTACAGGAATACAGGGACAGACTGTGGAGAGATGAAGCTCACACATGCAGCACTTCCTCATGGAGTAGAACAAATGCTAACGTTTACTTCTCTATGTTTTTCCCAGAGTTCTGTTTGATCTCTCAGAAAGATCCTGCTTCCAAAACTACAAGTTGTGAACAATGCTAGCAGTGCCTTTTGTGAGTTCAGCTAATCAATGAGGAGCCAAGCAGCTTGGACACACTACTCAGAGGCTCCACTAGCACTAACACACACCTAGAGATCCTCCTTACCACCAGGATGAACAATGCTTCATCTTCAGCATGCAAAACACTGAAACAGCACAGGAGGAAACATAAGCATTCCAGACTGAAGTACAGAAGGCAAAAGAACAGAGACAGCAATGTTACAACAATGGTCTAAGTGGAAGCTACATTGCCAAGAAACAAAGGCTGTGTTGGCAGTAGAGCTCATTTTCTGTTTGCCATTCTAGCTCTAGACTAACAAAAGCTGGAAGGTGCAATGGGAGAACAGCAAAACTGGAAATTTCAACAAGGATCCAATGCCAGAATGAAGCATTACCAACATTGGTAGTATCTGTGAGAAGGAGTTACTGTCTCTTTTCTTAGCAGGGAGTTAGCAGGGAGAAAATAATAAAGAAAAGGGACTGTTCCTTTGTGCCCTGTTAAGCAGGTTGACACAGACATCAGAATAAAATTACCCATGTTCTGAAGTTTAAAAAAAAAAGCAACACAACATCCAACTGACATAGAAGAGACAGCTGCCTGAAAGAGACTTTGATTAGCCTCACCGAACATGTTTTACATTCATAAAACAAAGTCTGGAGATCAGCAGAGGGATGCTGAGGTATCATCACACACAGTATCACTTCATGAAGGAAGCCTCACTAACTGAATGCAAAAGCAATAACCAGGACAAAAAAAAAATAATGGAGAAGATTGTTCATGAAAGCTCAGCTCCGACGGGATTTGGCACTACCAGCTCACCAAGAAGAAACAACTGCAACAGCATAAACACTTCACTCCTTGGTTCAACCATTAATCATCTCCAGGCAGTGTCTCTCACTGGTAACTGTGGGGACTACACCATAAACCCCTAGCTGGTTATGCCTGACATGAAGCTGTAATCTCACAGCAGCTTTCTCACCAATGGATGCCAGCATTTGGTACAGTAAATTTTCATTTATTGCACTTTAACAAGAGACAAAGCAACACTAGAGCAAGACAAATTTTATTTCCAAGATGAAACTTCTTTGTAAACAAACACCCTGAGATGAGGTGGTGTTAAAAAAGTCACAGGAGAAAATCCTTCAAAATGTGCAACTCTCACAGCACAGGAGGGCAGTCAATCCCAACAGCACCCCTGAAGAACAGGTTCCTTAGTGTCCACACAGAGTATTGATAATAATGCTAGAGAAATGTAAAGTTTCATGTTGCATCACTCCAGTAACAAATTTGATATTAAAATACAGCAGTGCTGCATTCTTGAGTACCATGAACTTTATAATGGAGCTGGCACATGAAAGTTCAAATTCTCTCAAGCACAAGAGGCTGGAATTAGAAAGGGGCATGCAGAGGGAGTGTATGGCATCAGACATCCCTGTGGGCTGAAAAGGGAAAAAATTGCTGGCAGCATTGTATAAACAGATTTGCACAGCTGGCAGTGTGCTTCCTTTTTCAGCTGGCAGTAGGACTCTTCTGTTTAGGGAGGGCAGGTCCAGATTTGTTTTCTTATGGGACAAAATAGACCCTCTGCCCTTTCAAGAAAAGGCATCAGGGAAGCCATAGGAGATATAGCCACTTCTACTAACTTGTCCTTTGCACTAAAAAGTTGTCTGAACAAACACCAAGCTCCTGATATGGCTAAGCTGTGAAGCAGACAACTCAATCCTTCAACTGTATCTGAGAAGAGCAAGTATTTTAATCACTGTGCCTGGGATCTACCTAAATTAGGGTAAAAACATGTTTTGTATGCAATTCAATATATGTAAGGCATAGCAAAGAAAAGCAATTGCAGCAGACTGTCACAATGCAGCAGTGTAGAGGCAGAAGCCATTTCTTGAGTTCACCACAATCAAATTCAAGAAGAGTTTTGACTCCCCTGTGTGGAGCTAAGCTTCCCTGCCTATTTGTACAGATGGTCAACCTTTCCCCTGGATTATGAGACCTGATGTGTAGCCAACAAACTGCTCTCCTGCCCTTGTACTACCTAAGAAATTCTCCGTTTCTTCTGGCTGGAATTTCAAACTTAGTCCTCAAAGACAATATGAGTACCAACTCCTTTTCCAATTTGACTTTAGATACTACTAGCCAAGATTGTCAGTGCATATGCTTAATATTAATAGCTCTTCTTTAGAGTTTTGGGGTTGAGGGTATTTTGCTTTTTTTTTTTTTTAAAAACAAATCCACTCAGAAAAAGGACTCCTCATCCACCCCATACAGTTGAATGTTTTGTTCTTTTTAAGTAAGTCTGAAGAGGTGAAAAGCTCATGCTTATGGTAGTTTACACTACCACAGCATGAACTCTTTCTTTAGAATGCAGGATTATTGTATTACATCTACCGTCTGCCCTTTCAAAGGAAGAAAACTAAAAAAGCAGAACATTTCAGGGGTCTGAGCACTGTTAAGTATACATAATATCCAAACTAAAAAAGAAAACTCACACAGCAAATGTCCTGCTACACCTGTGGAAAGTAAATCTACTTTCCCAGGAAGTCTAATGGTTTTCCCACTTTTTAAAGAAAAATAATCTTTACAAGGAATTCCTTTGCAAGAATTATTTATCTACCGAAGGGAGACTAGTTCTCTCAAAATACTTGAGAGCATTGCTCACAAGTAGACACCATGCTACCTCATATCTTAAACACCTATAAGCCAAACCTAATTTATTTCACCAAGTTGCTCTTTCAGGTTTACCTGTGATCTACAGTTTCTCGGTATTTAATATTAACATTAGCAAGAAGTTAACCTGTGCCAAGAATAAAAAAAAGTTAACACGTTGCTTTTGAGGGTATTGTTTTAGTAAGACAGTTATTCCTCCTGGACTTTGCTAGCTAATGAGGCCTGATAGAAAAAGCTCACTTTTGGACGACTTCATAATTAACATGTCTTAGTAAATGTGGAGGTCAGAACTGAGCTCAGAAAAGCTCCTTGAGGTAGTTGGTACATTTCAGATAACATATCGCTGAACATCATCGAGCCTGCAAAGCACCCAGGGCAGGAGCTACCAGGGGAGAGAGTCTGGGATCCCTGGTAGCTAGCTGAGGCACAGCCCTAACAGGGCATCCAAGAGCAATTAATCTAAGTATCCCATCAGCAGTTTCTGTTTCTGACACTTGCATTTCCTACTTTTTCTCCCAGCTGCCAACCTAGCCTGGCTGTGTGCAGAGTGAGGGTTGGACCTCGCATCCTCTTGTGTCTCAAGATGGATGTTCAGTCTGGTGAAATGGTGGTCGACATGTCTTGCAAGAGACCAAGCTGACAGCTTGGCTTTAGATTCACCTTTCCAGCAAGGGCTCAGTATTTCTAAACTATGACAAACGTAACTGATGAACTCAAGACAGACTACCTTCATGTATTAAAATAAAAAACAAAAAATGAACCAGAGGTCCAAATTGGTATCCTCTTTACTGAACAGCAAGAGTCAAAGTAGAGGAGCCTGGTTAGTTACAGAGAAGCAGAGAATCCATCTTACCAGCTGTTTCACTTTAACCACCTGCTGAGCACCGACTGACTGCGCACCAACGCACTTAGGCTGCGAGATTTTAAGACCAATTGGGGTTCCAATGACTGGTTTCAGAGGCTGGAGAGGGGTTGTTGCTGAAGATGCCACCGTAGAGACCAGCACGGGCTTTGCAGATGGCAGAGAGGGCGTTGGCACCGTAGAGGTGAAGACCAGCTTGCCAGGTTGGACAGCAGTGAGCCCGGATGATGCCATGGCTGTGGTGAGGACGGAAGCTGCGTGCCTGAGCGACGCTGTTCCCGCTGCAGGGGAAGGAACAGCCTTCACGGCCTGCAGAGAAGCTGCTGCCGATGTGCTGGCAAGGACTGGTGTGATAACCAGAGGGGCTGTGCCTGCTACAGAGGCAGGCACAGGTTTTACAACTGGAAGAGCGGTTGTTGCTACAGCCGAGGTGGCCGCTGCTGTTGAAGGAGCTGGCACTGCAGAGGTACAAGTTGAAACCACTTCTTGGGTTGGAGCTGGCTGCTCCATACACTGCTGGATAAAGCTTTGAGGATTAGGCATTAGCTGCCGTAAGGCAAGCATGCTTTTCTGAAAGAAAAATGAAAAAACACTGGATGTAGTAGCAGCAGAGTTTTCCACAATAATAATACATTTGTAACGGAATCATCTTCCTCGTTTTCCAGTTTCATTTTCCATGAGACAATAAATGGCAAACAAGTTTTGTTAAATTTCAGGCACCCTTAAATTGAGAACAATCCTGTTCAGTGAAGATGACAAGAAACACCAGCTGAGCAAAGGTCAACCATCACAGCTACATTACACATAGTAAATCCCATCTATGGGGAAAACTCGCATATTACTTTGTTCTTCTGTTTAGATTTTTCAATTTGGAATTTATGTTTCAGAGTAAGATGATTTTAACTGCTTTATTACCTCAAAGAATTCTGTTTTGCCAAAAACCCCTACTATATTGGAGCAGCTGTGTTTATTTCATGGAGCCTGACAGGGAGCTAGGAATTATCCAATAAAGTCAGAAACAAGGTCTGAAGAACACTTTTATACCAATACAGCTGTATCTACACTAGGGGGGGATGGCACTTAAATAATGTCTGTAGAGCTGCAGCAACGCAACTACAGCCAGCTACTTCTCCACAACAGGAGAACAAAAGTAAAGGAATCTGGCAACATCTCATTTTTACTACAGCTGTGTTTGAGAAGGTTAATGGACAGAATAATCTTCAAACTCTCCATAGATTTTTCTCCTTCACTGTTTATAATCTGCTATGGCTCTGAACCAGGGGAAATCAATTCTGCAGCTACCTGTATATTCTTGCAAACCCTTGTATTTTTTCCTCCCCTCTTAACAGTTGCTAAAGTTTGTAAGAGCTGCAAACACAATGCTGCAGCTTTGGACTTCATGCAGAAGGTTCATGTTTCACATGCAAGCGTACCAAGTAATCATATTGTTTGCACAACCAGACCTTTTGCAGGCTATATGTTTTTTAAAATTCACTTCTTTTTCCTTTAAAGCTGCTTAGCTCCTGATGCAATTTATGTACCAAAAGCATCAAGCAGACTTGAAAATCAAGCAGGCTTCACAGCCAAAGCCACTGTACTTTTTCTACCTCTTGGAACAGACAAAACAAAACACATGCACAACTTCATCAAAAACCTGCAGCTCAAAGATAAGAGCTGACTCCAGAGAGTCATCCCTAAAATTCCACTTCACTGGCTAAAAGTGGATTGGCAAAAAGCTGTATCACATTTCTTTCCAGACTCAAGCTGCAAACATTTCCCCCACAAACAAGGCCAGTACTGATCCGCTTAGCACCTTAGAGAAGTGCTCCTGAAGTCATCCTCCATTTGGCACCTGGTTCCAGTCACAGCTGCTCAGAGTTACAGATCAACCTAATTGTGTGTATCAACCGCACATCCTCACAGAGTTTCAGGAAAAGGCAATCTGGGTGCAAGATGTTAAAGGATTGGCAACACCGCAAAATCAGCTAACTCCGACCGTGTCTGAACAACACTTCTGAAGTCACAGTATATCTTTGCTAATATAGCATGCAACAGGGAAAGAGCACGCGCCAAGGATTATGTGGTAGGGACACTGCCCAAATCAGAGAAGCCTGGATGATACCAGTACTTGGCAGTGTGCTGCAGCAGAAACACACAATGGCTCTGCTGAGACAGGTCAGGGTCTGACCCACGCTGATGAACCCAACTTAACCCCTGCAGAATTGCCTTGAGTTCTCTGCATCAAGTGTAGCAGCTCTTCACATCATTGGATGGCTTCTTATAACAGCTGAGCACCTCTGTGAGTGCCAGTCATGCTGACCCTGTACTCACAGCCTGGTCTTTCTGCAGCCAGGGCCACGCTGGATGCAGAAAACCCATTCTCTGAGCTGTTTACTTTTCTGGCGTTTGCATGGGCATTTAAGAAGCCTCCAGGAAATTAAACAGGTAATAAATGACCAATAGGAAAATTTTATGTATCACAGAATCATCAAGGTTGGAAGAAACCTTATACCTTTAGGATCGTCAAGTTCAACCATCACCCAGCACCAGATCTGGATCCTAATAAGCACCTCCAGTGTGGTGACTCCATGGTGACTGCACCACCTCCCTGGGCAACCTATTCCCAATGCCCAACCATCCTAACATGGTAATTTTTTTTTCTAGTATCAAATCTGAATCTTCCATCTCAGCTTAAGGTCCTCCAGAGATGACTGCAGTCTTTCAGACTCACAGCAAACTGGCTAGCAAGGCATTTAAAAGCTGCCACTGTAAGAAATTTTTTTTTCCCACATTTGAGCAGATTAATACCAGCCATCTAGAGCAATATTAACATTATCACATGCATTGCTATATGGCCTGTCAAATACCAAGGAAAAGGGCAAACTCCAGAAAAACTCTGTCCCAGCTTTACCACTTAACTATTCTTCCTTTATTCCCCATCACGCCTGTAACAAAAGTACAAATTTAACAAGCCTAAGAGTATGGTGTGCATTGAAATTTAGTAAATTTAATGTAGTTTTCCATGTTTTCACTGAGACTTAATGCTTGCTGTATAATTATTTTTTATTTTGCCAATACCATTCTATCATATGATTAAAAGTCTCAAGAAGGTGTTCTTTCCTTTGTATGATTATTTGCTTGAATGGAAGCAGTAGTCTTGTCAGACCCTTTCTGGAGAAATGGGTAAAGATTTTTTCTGCCTCCAGCTAAACATACACCAGCAGAAGATGAACAGCTTTATGCAGATTCTTTGATCTTTAACATGGCATAAGCTGTGCATGGCCACTGTTGTCAGCTTTTAAGTTAGAACTCAGAATTGCTACGATTTTGATGAGAAAGTAAGAGGTCAGCTTAACATAATAGCTGATTTACTGTAGATCGATGCACAGCTTCCAAAACACTGGTCTCCACTAACACCTAGAGGGCAATTACTCTACAACATTAAGAACACAGCATAAATTACTCCTTAAAAATTCCCCTTCCCCTTAAGAATTGTCTTTCCAAGCACAACAGTCACACAGAGGTATACTAAGCACTCTTCTTCAACTGACCTGAACAAATACCTATTTGAACACCCAAACTCTTCTTTTCTGGTCCTCCTTCCTTCGCTCTTTAAATACTACATTATCCATAATCAGACACTTACCTTGAGAAAAGGAACTAAATAGGGTTGTGGAGATGACTTAAGTTCTATGTACAGCTTTTTTGTAAATTCTTCTGGTTCAATTTTTGCTTCCTAAGAGGAAAATATAATTACAATAGTAAGCTATAACTGAATCCACCCCACTTTTTTCCCAAGATGTAGCAAAAGGTCATGGAAACATATCATGGCATTGTTCAATCTCAATACTCAAATGCTTTTCTCCTGCTTTATTTCAGAAAGAAAGAAAAGGGCAGTTAGGATAGAATAATGTTGTAATGTCCATATGTATTACCCCAGTTTATGCCTTCTTCAGCTACAGGCAGCTAACACACCATGGGATAGGTGTTCACACCAGTCACTGAAGTGAAGGGATAGAAAAAAGTTTATAAGCAGCACTGATCCTTTTGAGTATCTCATTGCTGTGTAGATGTATTTTAAATCAACTACTAGTACTTCCTTCAGTAAACATAGTTTATCTGCATGAAAATAAACTTACAGGTATAGAAGACTAATGACAACGTAGCAGTTTTTGAAAGACAATTCTAAACTAATGAATACACAACATAATAGAACACTTAACACTGTCTTTCAAGAGCAATCAAAACATTTCTGCATACCCCCATGGTAACAGTCCTCTCAATTGCAGAGTAGTTTCCTTTCTTAATGCTTTCCGCCCTGTCCCAACACAAACACCTGACTCAAGGGCTTGGGAGGGTTAGGAAGCTGCAGCAAAATGCAACCCAGGGCTGAGCCCCAGACTGCCCTTCCTCACCCTCCCAGAGTCACCAAGGAACATTACCCCCTCCAAGAAGGTACAGACACACAAAGAGCAGCACCAATCTCCATTTCTGCTGAGAAATTACTCCTCTCACCCATATTCACCTCTGGAGCAACTGTTCCAAGTTGCTACATCACCAGAACGGGGATTGTAAAGACTGTATTTGCAGACAAACAGAGCTTCCCGCAGCTCTCCCATTTAGCCAGAACATTTGAGATCTCACTGAGATACAGCCATGGGTCACCAAGGTCTCACTGATACAGATGCAAGTGGTTTGGCACACTGAGGCTCAGTGCATACAGGGTGCTTGCCACACACTTCATGAAACACTGCCTTAAGGATCATTTTGCTCCCCAGCTTCAATTTACTCATTTCTGTCATACCCACAAAAGATCACTTTATTCTGCATTTAAATCATACACATACCGAATGGCAGATTTTTAAACTGCTACAAAAAGCAAACAAGTGTGCAGTTAACAATGTATTAACATCTCTTAACTGCTCTTAAAAAAAAGAAAGTACTGTAAGCACAAGAAAGAACAACTTTATTTTTCCCACAGAAGGAAGGTGTATAGTCCAGCAGGGACACAGGCTAAGGAATCAAATTTTTGCAAGGCTGCATCTTCAAACAATCTGCTCTCTGAAATTACATCTGTCTACATCACACCTTCCTAGACTGAAAAGCCCTTTGGTACCACTAGCAAAGCCACCCCCCTCCACCAGCACACAGCCTTCTGCTACGGTGGAACAGCAACACAGCAGCAGCGGTCAAATGCCATGACAAGAAGTGGCAGGAGAAATCGTTACCAGGAAAACCCAGCTGTGCTGGGATACAGCACAAAGCACCATACGGAAGCCACCTGCAAAGAGAGAGAGGTTGGCAGCCACCACATTGTTTGCTCCATCCTACTGTTTTTAAGCTATTGATAATGTCATTCTTGTTCCACTGCTCAGTTCTGTCTTGGAGTAAAGCAGTAGTATGGACTTAGCACTGTACTGCACCCTTCACATCAGATTCTTGCTACTGAGCACTCAAAACTACACTAACATGAAAAAAAAAGACCCAGAAGCTGTGTTAACACTACCAGCTCCTCCTGCTATCAGTTACCTGTGTGCATAAAATGAAACAGAAATGTGAGGGGGGAAGTAACACTGGGATCCAGTTAAAATAAGATTTATAATGTAAGATTTAACAAAGGTCAGATGTATTCAGCCACAGATCCAACTCTTGAGCTGTTAAAAAAAAAAAAAGCTACAAAATAACAGGAACAAGACTATGATAACGTAAATGTCAAAAATCTATACACAAATGACACAGACTGTTTTGAAAAAAAAGTCTCACCAGTAGATTTTGCACCAGATTCTTCACATTCTCCCCCATCTCAGGGGCTTGAGGTCCACTAGACGCCAATTTTATTAGTGTAGCAAGAAAATTCTTGCATTTCTTCACATTCTCTAGCATCTCCTAGTGTGGAAATAAAGAGAAGAGTATTAGATGTTGCTCTGTCTCTTCAACCTCTGATGAACATACAGAATGTTAATTTTTAATTAAAAACTTTTTTTTTCCTTACTGTAGAAGCGCTGGTCTGTGCTACTGTTGTGCCCTCTGCTTTCACAGAGACTGCCTTTTGGGAGATAGCTCGTGCAGGTGGTCCTGTAACTGGAAGTTTTACAGGTGTTCCAGTACTCAAAGGCTTTACAGCAGTAACTGTAGTAACAGTAGCTGTTGCAGCTGCTGGCTGAAGAGAAAAATTAACACTTTTTAACCAAGGAACAACGTGACAAACATACAGGATTCTGCTAGCACATAAGGTAGCAACCTCCTCCACACTGCTATTTGAAACACAAAGAAACAATTCTTCTCTTTGTTTTTAGATTCATTTGCTTTGAGAGGCTCTATTTAATACAGTAAGTGACAGCCACAGCCACAATTCTATTTACAAATCAAGGGTGGGGGGAAGAAATTACAAAGGCACATCAAGACCAAAGCACTGCCTGCAACTTTGAAGGAAGAGAGAAAGGTAAAATTGTCTTATAGAAAGCAATATATTAACTTTGCTAGGCTCCTACAGTCTAAGACTAATAGATTTTGGACGATGCTAAGCCAGGTGATACTATTCTGAAGACAAGAAGAACCAAACGTGATTTTTTATCTTCCAGTCTTGCCCTGAGCTCCTCTCCCAACTGCAACACCCCTTGCTTTTCCTATCACAGAGTAGGCAAAAGACATCATGTCCACTTTGGAAGGATGCAAGTGCCAGCAGAAGCAGCCAGCTCAGCAAATGAACCTAACAGGTTTTTCCTGTCTTTTCCTTGTGGACAGCAATTTGGATCTCCTTCTCCTCTGCCCTGACAGAAACCCTCACAAAATTCAGTTATTTTGAGACCTCTTTTTAAAAGCTCATTATAATTTCCCAACAGATCAAGAAGCTCCAGCAACAGTAGAGTAATTAAGATTTAAGAAAAAAATACCTCCCTTCTTTGCAAACTAGGCTAAATCTAAAACCCACTTAACAGAAGTATTTCTACTTCAGATTTTAAAGAAAATAAACCATACCCAAAAAACCAACACAGTTCATTTGAAAGAACAGAATACAAGATGAATAAAACAACATGAATAAAAGACTCTGCCCATGCAAAAAAACTACATTTGATTTCTCAACTTAAAAGCAGAAAAGTCAGAGGAAACCCACAGGCAGAGTTCCAGGTTAACATCTGAAACCTCAAGTTGGGTGTCATCTTTCCTCCAAGCCTGTGAAGAGGAAGGGAAAGTCTGGTTTTGTAGTTCAAATTCTATGTTCAGATCTGCACAATGTAATGGCTTTCACTGACTCTTAACACATTCCATCACCCCAGCTTAGTCGAACAGACAGAACTAATACTTGCTAATTGCGTCAATCATAAGACAGACAGGAATTTAACTTACCCTACCATAGATAAAAGAAAAACTAATCAAAAGTGGGACAGACATCATGTAGAATATCAGCCTTTCAGGATGGGGAAAATTAATGAACGAACACTTGAAGCTAAAGCAAAACCGCAACACTTTGGTCATATATTTAATTTTATTTTTTTTCTGGGTGGGTGTCCTCCCCTCCCCAAGCTGCTGCCAGCTTGACATGAAAGCAGCAGGCAGCTACCAGAAAGCTCCTAGCTTAGGTTCCCACTGTTGGTAACACTTTAATAGCTCTCTGCAGGATCTTTGCCACCACCACTGCCTCTTCCAAGGATGAGGCTCAACAGCTCTAAGACCACAGGGAGGCAAACTGGGCACAAGAATCCCACAAACAGATGGGCAGGAGGAAGACAGAGTGGGACACAATGCAAATCTGCCAAGTTGCAATGCCCTGGGCTTTTAAAAGTCGAAAACAGGCGCTGATCTCTTGCAAATTCCAGCATGCTTACACATCAAGACTAGAACAGCATTTTATCAGCTGAGGGAGGAAACGACAGGAAGTCTGCTGAACCCTTTTCCCAGGAAAATGAATATATGGGAATTAACTTCTGTCATCTGCCGTCAACCTTTTTCGCTACTGACAATTCTCATTCTCACTTTGAGCAACAGAGAAACAGTAACCACCAAAAAATGGCATTAATCCTGCATATTTTGAAGTCATTTCAAGAGAAGAAGTGCTCTGCATCTAAATGAAAGTGCCCCAGCATGATGCTAATTAGACACTTTGCAGCTTCGTTACCTCATCTGGGAAACAGGTGAAAAATAAGAATGTGCAGGTAATTTTGTCTAACCTCAGAGCTTAAACATCCAGTAACATCAAAAAGGGAAGTATTTTTGTTGATGAGGAGAATAATCCTGCAGTCAGTACCTAAAGAGTTTTGCAGACAGTATTCCAAGTTGTATTTCACACAAGATTGAAGATGCACAACCAAGCCAAAGATTATTTCCTCTCCACTCTCCACCACTTTCTGTGATGACATCATACTTCCACACAAACACTCGTCTCCTGTGACCTCAAAAAATTGTCAAGACTGAGATGAGGAAGTTATTTTAAGACTGATGAATGAATTTCTGCCAAGGAAATCAGACTCAAGGGCTCTGCCATCCTTTCCCCAGATAGTTCCATCAACTTTTTGCACTCACTCCCCTTTCAGCACTCTTCTCTTGTCCACACCAGAGTGAAGAGCAACGTGACCACATGACAGCAAGATGTATCCACATTGCTTCTATTTACTCGTCATTGTACAAGGAGCTCGTACTGAAGGCTTTGCAATCCTCTGCACAACAGTGGGGCTTCAAGGAAGCCACTCCAAACAAAACAGCTCTATTCATTTTTCCTAGAGTCATCATTCCTGCTGTTTAAATCCAGCCCTACAGCTCATTACAAGTGTTCCAGTTTCTACAGTGGGGAACAAAAAAAAAAGAACAGCTTACAAAAAATACTCCATGTCTATGTCTTTAAATATCTCAGAAGAACACAAGTTCAATAGACTACATCAAACTAAACTGAAGTACAGAAAAACCAAGCCAAAGGCAGATATAAGTTTAAAAAAGAGAAGTTAATAGCATGATGAATCTCAGTGTTTATCCACATGAGAGTGTGAGGATGCAGGCAACTTCATCCATCAGATAATGGATGACCTTCATCTCTTTTCCCCGGTGCAAGGGTAGTATAGTAGATGACTATTGTTTTTATATACTAAAGACCTCTATGCAGAGATCACAAACATAGAGTTTTCGAACTAGTATTCCAAAATAAAAGCAAGGAATATCCATTGCTGTATTTAGACACAAAGCATACACTGTTCCCATTCTAAGCAAAACAGAAAATGTATTAAGAGAGGCCTCTGGGTTTTCCCCTTTAGCCCCAACACTACCTATCTGTAGTGAGAGAGAAGTGAAAAAAGAGCACAGAGAGTGAGTAGTGTTCAGTTGTTGATACAGAAGAACAGCAGAAGGATGAACTTGCTAGTCAGACTGTTACCAGCAAACACATCCCTCAATCCTTCAAACACCCTGAGGGTCAAGAACATACATCTAGCACGTTTTTTTGAATGACTGACTGATCCTGCCCATTTACTGAGTGTTCTGTTGTCAACTACTACAGCTCAGTCTCCTTCAAACTCTTGTCACAAAATATAGGTACAAGCCAGACTTCTGACTTTTTCATGATTTCTTCTCCAGATTATGAGACCAGAACATCTGCAGAAAAATGTAGTTTTCTCTTCATTCCACATGCTTATGCAGAAGTCTGGTCCCCAAGAACAGAAGATGAACCATAGGTAGGAAAAATCTCATACTCTGCAGCTGATAGAAGTCCTTCAGAAAAGGACTACAGCATTTTTCTCCAGAAAAAGCAAAATAAGACCTAGGAAATAAAACAAAAATACTATCTAAAAATAATGAGGCATTTTCAACCACTGCCTATTTATAGTTGCACCCGTGGAACCCATCTGTCACACTCAATTACAGAACAGGTCTTCAGCTATGACTTTCCTTCAATGTATAATGAGGGGGAAAAAAAACATACACATGAAAAACAGCTTGATTGGCACAGATAGCTCATTTTCCCCTCAACATCATCTCAGGTATACCTTTTTCCCCACTAAGGAATCAGGAAATTCCAACAGGAGCACATCTCCCAGAAAAGATTTAGCAAGAGATTGAAGGAGCTCTGTCACAGTGTACAAAAGCACTGGAAATGACTCTCTGAACTATTTATTTTATTCATTGTTCGTGTGCTTTCTACTGTAGTGAGATAAGATTATCTGACACACAGTGACAGAAGCCTAATTAAATTATGCATTTAAAAAAAAAAACAGATTTGGGAAATAATTTGTTATGAGAACAAAGGTTACTAAGCTTACTGAAAACCATATTACAGTTAGAAATAACAAGAATGCATCCATATTTTCTCTAGTTCTTTCTGTCACTTATTCCACCATATTATAAAGCTTGCAAAGTACCTGTATTACAGCAGGTGTCTGAACAGTAGAAACCACAGCATTTGTTGTTTGAGATAACGTTTTCACAGGAGCAGCTGCTATTTTCTTTACTAACTGTGTGCCAGAATTCTTTGAAAGAATAAAAATAAAAAATAATTACACATGGGCAGAGAACAGTTGTCAGACAAGTCAGTGACAAAACAGACACTGAAGCTGGGGTCAGATACAAACTGAGACACATCATCTTACAGTAATAATACAGGCATAATTCACACAGTCTATATAGTTTAAACACTGCTCAATAAAGCTCTTTGTCTACCAGTTTAATATTCAATAGCAGATTCAGGGGCATTTAGAGATAAAGTATAATCAGAATAAAATTAAAGAAATTTAATAAATAAAGAAATGAAGTGAATTTTTACTTTCATGTACTTCCCTACTCTTGTGCGCTGACTACCCTACAAGAGATGGAAGCAAAAAGCCAGCAGAGTTCAGGGAAGGAGGAACATCCTAGGGACATGGGAAAAGTCCTCAGCTTTACTCAGCTTTGGAGAAATATCCCAAGAGAGGATCACAAGGTTTTAGATACTAGCAGTTACCATTTAGACAGTGGCTGGCATTTTTTTTTTCTTACATTGGTTTACATCATCATCATCAGAGAGGAGTTCACTAATTTGACCTTTACCATATGTAATGGCTCACAAGTTTTTTCCCAGGCAAGAAAGGAAAGTACATAATTTATTGGTGCAAAACCAAACACCATCAGAAGGATTCAGATTCAAACACCATTCAGAAAGGATTGAAACACTTAACCCTCCACAACTTATTTGTAAACCCTGTTATAACTACATAACATACAGCTATGTCAAATTGAAGTTATGAGAGAAGTTACCTGCAAAGCACATATTCTGATTGCAGGTGTGCTGGTCGGCACAGATGGTCTCACACTTGTGTTGTTTTGTGTCTGGTTCTGTGCTCCTGCTATTGCCTGTTGAGACACCAGCATTAGGTGGCCATTACTGCTTCTGATAAGAACAGTTCCTGTGGAAAAAAAACACATTTAGATTGTTAGAAATTAAGTTATATTATGGATTTCCTATATTTCTGTGGAAGAAATAAATAGACCACACTGATAATGTAATACTGAGTTTATCACTCCAAGGAGAAGCTGCCAAGAAATATAAGAATTAAGTGCACATCTAGCTTTACTATGCATCTTATGACAGAAAAGAATCCCTAAATTCAAGACAAAAACTTAGCCACCAGCCACACTGAAACACTGCGTGCATACAAGATGCAAATTGCAAAGCAGTTCACCATTTGAGTCCAAAAGATATTCTGAACATTAAAAAGACAGACACACAAAATATACACACACCCTGGGATTTCTTTAACACTAATTTTAAGCAGTTCTTCAACTTGCAAAATTCATCACCACTATCACACTTGGCTGCCTCTTCAGCTTCTGAACATTTATGCACACATTCAGAGGTGAAAACACAGCTTAGAGAAAACTGCAGTGGGAACTGAAGCCTGATTAGTATGAGCTCACCTACCTGTAACCAAGACCATCCTACCCAGTCAAGAGGGCAATGATCTCCCAAGAAAATCAAGTCACTGAGATATCTGAAGCTGTCCCTCGGTCAAAGTTGTGTCCAAAAGCATTAAAACCCAGGGTTTTATTGAAGCAGTTTGAAGCCAAATATGGAGATTACAGCGGGAAATAATTAAAAACAAAAAATAAAGGGGAAAATAAAAAAAAAAAAAAAAAAGACCATTCAGCTACCAAAGCCTTCTCCCTCCTCCCCTAAGGACTCATCTCTGAAAAATTCAGAAGATTCAAAACAATGACAAATACAAAATGCCAGCTGGATACCTGGTCTGTACCATGTCAGATTCTTCAAGGGAGCCACAGAGGACCCTACCTTTGTGTCTCACCTCCTTTGCCTCCAACAGCAGCTGCTGCACAGGTCCATCACTGAAAACACCATCCCCAAGCATCCTCCCTTAACACTGACCTTTCAAATAGAAGGAAGGAGGAGGTACAGGAGAATCCAGATACGTAAATAAGACTACCTCAATGTTTCTGGAGGACTGCATTAAACTTTCTTGCAAGTTATCAAATATCTGAAACCAAGATCTTCTATGCACACTTACGATCTTTCCTAGTGTAAAACAAGACTGCAATGAAAGTCTTTTTACTACTTGGTTAGTCTGAAAGTTGTCAAAATACTACCATGCAATACAGCCTAAAGCTTCTGTTTGAGTTGAAATGCATACAACAGAAAAAGCCATAAGCTCCATGAGCTGGGTTTTGTTGGGTATGTTTTGGGGTATTTTAAAAAAAAAACTATCAAACTATAACCACATGCTTGGAAACAGCTTTTCATCCTCCATATCTAAAAGCTTAAGAGGATGTTGCAAGACAACACAAAACCTGGTATAAAATTCTGTAACATCAACATATTGCCATTTACATAGCAGACACAAACTGAGAACTGCAAGAGCAGCATCTACATGATCCCCTCCTTTCTCAAGCAGCTTTTACTACATGGGGCAGATGCACAAGGCAATTGTGTATTCAGAAAAACACTTAACTCCATCTGACAACTCAGCTTTCTCCTCCTCCACTGATGACTTGACTGTAATTATATTTAGGTACAGATGGGTCATTTAATTTAATCAATGAATAACCGGAATTACAGAAAACATATTAGGTTTTTAATTCTCTTTTCATGCCATCTTACTTAGACAGTGATTCATGGCAAACAATTTATCATCAGCCAGAAAAGGGACATTTTTTTCCTTGTTCACACATGCTTACGCAGATTTCACTTGGAAGAGAGAAAGCTGACCACGTTTTGCTAGCAGTAGCATTTCTCTTTGCTCTAGGTCTACATTTAGAAAGGCAGAAGTATTGCTACTGGAGATTTTAGGCTTTTTCTTTATAAGCCTGGTTTAAAACATAACTGAGAGTTCTACTCTTTGAGAAGGCACATATAAACTTATAAGTTCATTCCTTTAGAGGTTTGGAATGCATTAAGGGTTAGTTTTCATGTACTTGGATATTTTGTCACTACTCATTACATTTGTCTGTTAAGTCAAATTATCAGACGTGCATTTTCTAGTCTGCATTTGAGAAACCACATTGATACCAGTGAACCTGATTACAGAGCTGGGACTGGTTTTGCCCTACTGTTCTGCATTTTCAGTTGGCATTCACCAGAGATGGAGACCCTGCTGGAAAACTATCCCATCCTCCAGTCACCTGAATGGGGTGAGTTTCCAGCACAATCTACTTGCTTGACAGGAAATTACCTCAAGGACAGAACTAGAAAGTTTATGCAAATACAGTACAGTTCATATGTAAATTCATTAACATCTCCGAAAAAGAAAAGGTAAACAAAAACCAACTAGAGGATTAACAAGTCAAAGTAGCCCCTTTACATTTGAGCAGGATAATAACGATCCCAAAAATGATGTAATATAAAGCAACTTTCCCCCTAGTAACAGGATTAGGCAACAGAAGGACATCCATACTGAATCAGAACACTGTAAAATAACTTGGTGAGAGCATCCACAGAAGAAATTACCTAAGGCTACTCCAGTGGTCATAGCCTTGATTGGAACAGTCAACTATGATAATGCCTGTTACTAGCATATGAGTAAGAAATTGTTACCTTGGAACAAACAATAATCTTCCCTATCTTTGTTCCATTTAGCAGAATTTTTAATAAGGCATGGTAACTTTTTCATGGCAGCAGCTCTTTGTGACACTGGCAAAATTCTAACTCCAAACCAGTATTATGATAGTCTACTAACTACTGCTTCTACAGGCTTAATGCTATTGATGCCTGATGCTAGCACAGATAAAGCTGAGGGCAAATTTGAAACAACTGTTATATCTACAGTTCCACACACTGAAGAGCCACATCTTGTCCAAGCACAAGAGAGTGTTTTGGGCAGTTACAACCTAATGTCACAAAGGGACAGTAAACTGACACATGAATTGCCTGAAACACTTTGAAAGCTGTTGAGAACGGCACTTATTTTTTACCTCTGGTTGCCACAATTTAATTACAGTTTTTCACAACTTTGATACTCCCTTTCTGCCTGGAAACAAAAGCAATAACCCCATACTGCAGCCAATAACACAGACTCCAAGGGGCGGCACAGGAGGTCTCCTAAGCCAGAAGAAGAGGTTCCATGGCTCTCAAAACCAATGCCTGAAGTCTCATACACTTTTATACAGCTGCACAAGTGTGAAATGAGGGAACAGCAGGTGATGGTAACCTTGAGGCTCTCAGTAGAAAGGTCACATAAACAGACTCGTGCAGCTACCAAGACGCTACCATCAGAAATGAAAATAAGTGTAAGAATCCACATTCTTCACTTGGCAGGGGGGAAAGATAGTACTTCCTATCAAGAGCTGCTTTCACATTCACTAGAAGGCAAATAATAACAAAATAAATGTGAAAACAGATCATGTCTTGCAGTCACTGCAACTCCACAAGAAAATGGGGGGAAACAAAGAGACAACACACGAAACAACACAGGACCTCTGAACAGCTGAAGCATGAAGTTTCAGCTAACACCTTTCAGCACTGCATTTAAAAACAGAAAAAGTATTGGCAATCTGAGCAAAGTATCAGCACCAATGGTAGTAAATGAAGAGCAATGAAGCATCCTCGTAACACTAGAGATGCCCTCTTTTGAGCTGCACTTCCAAGAACACTGTTTGATAGTTCTACTGGAGTTATTTCAGAGAGCAGGAACAAATGTCTCACTGCTCACACACTTTGATAGTAAGAGCAAGGCACAACCCCTTTGGGGCTACAAAGCTGTTCCTATTTTCAAACCACAGTGACCGGTTACCATCAGGAATTATTTTTACACGCTTCACTGGAGGACTCTGATGTCTCTTGCAGATTTAAAAAAAAAAACAAACATTTTTACAATGAACTAAGACTTCTGTCCTTAGAGATTCTGCCCGTCCTGCCAAAAACACTTTGGGAAGTTATTTGGTTTTCCTACACTGGCAGAGAAGCCAGTTAAAACACAATCAGTTGTTTCAGCCATTTGCTCTCTGCACACCCTTCTTCAGCTGCAACCCTGGAAAGAGGGCTGGAGGGGAAGTACCTGACAACCAAAACCCAACTTAGATTCCTCCAAAGCTACACAGAAGGAGCCACCTTCTCACCTTGAGGAGGTCTCATTGAGATCTACACCCAGTGCCCTGCCTTCTCCTGGAACCAGGGCTGCAGGTACCCTGCCTTCAGGAGGAGCGCCTGGCAGCAGTGCTGCAAAGCTCCGGCAGCCGTCACCCAGACCAGCCTCTACCTAGACATGCCAGCACTGTCAGCAATGGAAAATCAGAGCCCTTCTAAGGAAATTTCGTTTCATTTCACAAACTTGAGATCCCTCTGCTACAAATTTTCACTGTCCCAATACCATCAGTGAAGAAAACCCAGCTTATTCTGAACTTGGTTCAGCACCCAACCCAGGAACCAAGAAACACAAGTTAGCTGGAGGATCAGCTCCAGATACCTCTGCATTCTAACAAGAAAACACCAAAACCTCACTGGAGACATGAGCAAGAAGCTGTGGGATAACGTCAGAGATCTGTTTATGCCACTGTATGCAATGCCACCTGCATGGGCTTCACTGTATTTCAGGGAACAGTGTTAAGGAAACCACAATGTTGTTAACATAAACCTGCGCTGCCAGCTGAAGCTCTGGGCTTCAGCCAGCAGCACTGAACACCAAGGAATGCTAAAAGCAGCTCACCAAAAGAGCAACTTCCACCATATAAGATAAGCCTGAGACCATTTCTGAAGGGGAACTTCACCCAGGAATTTCCTGAGATGAACCAGCTGGCATCTGTGCTCTAGTAGAGACAGAATTTACGCTGTTACTACACCTGAAGCTGAAGTTGTCATGTTAAACCACCACTTAGATTACAAGGTTTCCAACCCAACTGCGCAACCAAGCAGCTCTTGTGAGCTACTGGCTAGGGAATAACGTGAGGAAATCAAGTCTTTTGCTCCTAAAATAAAATACAAGCAAGAACCAGCCACAATGAGACCAAACTCATTTAAAAGAACACAAGTCACAAAAGCTGCTTTCAAAGAAGGGTAAATTTAACCTATTTCAAAACCAGGAATGTCTGCATCAGGTATGTTGCCATTCTTAGTAAAGTACACTTTAACCCAATCATAAAAACAAGGCTAAATGGGGACTTCCAGGTCTCAAATCAGTAACTGAACAACAAAAATGTTTTAAAACAACAGTAATGTGTCAGAGCTCTCTGTTCCTAAACAAAGGCCACTCTTTCACTGAGCTACTCAAAGTGAAAGCTTTTAAGGCAGTTATTTCAAGCTAAGACCAAGCTTTGAAGGGCATGTTTTAATAGGAAACTAAGTGGCAACTAAAAAGGAATATTGGTTTTAAGTTTCTTTGACTATTTAGGATCATTCAAAATTCGGAAAATGAAATACCAAACACTACTAATCCATGCAACAGGTTTGAATACAGTTTTTCCTCTCTAAAGCCATCCTTTAAGAGAAAAAGCC